GAGCTTGGTGGAACTTGAATTGAATACCAAAGTAGTAGGGATATGTTGTGAAGTCAGTACTAGGGTTGGGGTGAACTCTATAAGGACATAGCAGTTTAATGGTATGCCCTGACTGCCAGTATTGGTCTCAGCCATAGCGATACCAGGTCAGCTGTAAAAATGGGATACAGAAGATTCTGAAAGATTTAGTATAAGATCAAAGGTTCTCCATATGAGTGAACTGCTTTAAAGACTTAATGACCATGGCATATTTGAACTAGTATCGACCAGGACATCTTGGTAGGTGTAGGTAGATGGGTGGATACAGGAACAGAGTGGTTAAATAGGGAACCTACAAGCAGGTCCAAGGTATGGCAGCTAATATAAAACCTTCAGGCAGATTACTTAAATTAGACAATGACTAAAGTTGTACGAGTGGCTAGTTGTACACTCTTTCTATGGTTGCCCTCTGTAGTTGTAATGCAACTATTAGCTGAATGTACTATCAATAAAATCCTAGGTTGCAAGTACTTACCTTAATATTTAAAAAAAAATCAAAAATTAAAAATAGAAAGTAGGTAGATAGAAGTAATCAAAATTAAATTTTAGTTTAGTTTTATTGACACCTTGTTTAGTTAATGAATTAGTTATATTATATAAAGTATTTTTTGAGTATTAAATATTAGTTTAGTTTTGTTAATACTTTGTTTAGTTAATGAATCAGTTATATTATATAAAGTATTTTTTGAATATAATTTGACTTTATATATAATGTAATTGATGTTTTTAAGTTTGATTAAATAGTTTAGTATATGCTAATTATTTTGTTTAGTTTGTAAATTGTAGTAATAAGATATAAGTTTATAAGTGTTTAAATAGTAGATAAACTGTTGAGATGAATATAAATTGAATAATTGGCAGATAGAATAAGAAATAAATAGATGAGTATTATTAGTTTAGCTTATATAAAGTTTGATGCATAAGTTATAGAGATATTAAATTTGATCTGTATATCCTTTTCAAGAATCCAAGCAATGTATATAGAGATGTTATCTGTTTGTGAATTAAGTATGAAAGTATCTGTATAGAAGTTTAGATTAGTTAGTTTTAGAAATAGAATTTTTTTATGAAGGTTGATAAATTGATTTTGATAAATAGAATCATATATACTTCTTTTTAAAATAATTTAATAATTAGAAATTTAAAATAAATAAATTTAAAAATATATAAATAGCATATCATAAATATGTACAAAATTAATAATAAAGACTAAGTTAAAGTTATAATTTAAAAAAAGATAGTTATATAATAAAATTGTTTAATAAAATTTTTTTTGTTATAATATAATAATGATTTTTTATATTTTTTTAAATTATTAATAATTTTTAATAGAACAAACATTGTTTTGAATCTTTTGATCATATTATAATTAATTTTAAAATCTAATATATAGTTTAGAAAATCTTCATTACAAACCTTATACATATTTATATATTCATATTTATATTAAATTATATTAAAATAATGATACTAACTCATCTCTCCAACATATATATATGAACTGCAACTCCAAGAAGACTTTTATGATTTATAAAACATGAATCATTATTAACAAAAGGATGAATAGGTATATGTGACCCATCCATTGTATCAATAACATTAGATAAGTTATACTCTAAACCAGTTATTCTATGTTCAAATTTTTAAATAATTGTTACTAGTTGTATATCTTGTAATCACTTTATTCTTTCTTGTTTCAAATCCAATAATGTTTTCAAAAATCAATCTGTAAAATGAATAAAAGACCTTTGACTTACTTTAAAGTTTGCTCTAAAACTCATACATCTGCTCTATTGATTAAATACCACAAAACAATAGCAATTTGCTTCCATACAGGTGTTGCATTAAAAACTTCAGATTTAAAAACAGAATATTTTTCTAATCGAGAAACAATAGCATTAAATGTTGAGAGAATAATATGAAAATGATGACAGAAAGAATTATAACCCTCATTGTCAGTTAAATATGGAAAAATGTCAATCCAAAATCCACTAGTTTTAGGTCTTCATTGACATTGAGTTATTGTATTAGATAAAGAGATTATTGATGAAATAGTTGAATTTGTTGCTATATAAGTATAAGCTAAGAGATGATAGGTGTCAGCTATTGTTTTTTGGGCTTGCAGATTTTTTTTATTCATAAAAACCTTTAATGCGAGAAGTAAAATAATAATTCATTGCTGAACATGATGATCCATGGCAATTTACTTGTGCAGTCTCTTTGAAAACTCAATTAATTGTAGAATTTTTCAAGTCAGTGATAAAAAAAAGATGGTTTGTGGAAAAAAAGTTCATTTATTTAAATGACACAATCATTTCAATATTTTTTACAAATAAAAATATCATATTTTCGTAATAAGCTTTATCACGTTATGTATATTCATCGTAATGATAAACACGATTAATTTTAAATATTTTCCGCTAAATAACATTTATTTCCCGACACTTTTTGATCCATTGATTGAGGCGCTTGAGAACGCCCTTAATATACCATTTCAAACCTTCTTCTTCATCAATATTGGTTCCGTCACCGAGCATTAAGCTATGTCCAGCTGCATTTTGTCCACTTGCATTTCCTTTCTCTGCAGATTTTAAATACCAATTCAATGAATTGGATAAGCTTTTAATAACACTATAACCATTATCGTAACATTGTCCAATATAATATTTCCCATAAATCTTTGGTAGTTGATTTTAAAAATAAATATAGTGCCTTTCGTTGATCTGCTATGACACGTCTTCCATAAATATAAAGTAAACTGAGAGATATCAATCCAATAATCTGATTTTCTTTTAGTAAATTGTCTACCTTGGTTGAAGTATTAAAATTTTCAGTTGCTTGTCTATACATATCAAATGCCTTGTGATAATCGACGATTGTTCCAATTCCATACTCATAAAAGAATCCAATAATGCTTGTAAAATAGTATTTAAACTTATAATTATTGTAATGTTCGAGAATATCTTCTGAATTTTTGTTATGTTCAACTATATGTTTTTTCAAGCAACAAATTACAGAACCGACTGAATTTTTTGTAGCACCTTGTATATTAAATTGTGTTATAAATAATTTATTTTAAGTCATGATTTTGATTACTCGCATTAACTAGAGATATTGAAATTGTTTCAACAATATTTAAAGTTGATAAGGAACTGGTTAAATTTAATAAATTATTCTGATCGTTAATCATACTATTTTCACTTAATATTTTTATAATTGAAGAAATTAACATTAATTCTTTTGCTGTGTTATTACGCAAATTAGTATAATAGTTTGAAAATTCTGTTGAATTTAATCTTTCCATTTCTGACATTGGTTGATCTTTGATCTCATTCTTATTACATTCTGTAAATGTTTTTTCGTCACTAATTATCAATATTTCATTAAAGTTAATATTATTTAAATCATTAAAAATATGCTGAACGGTGGGTCGTTTATTTGAATTATGCCAACATTCTAAAAAAAAAGATAAACTTCTATATAAATAATAATAATATATTATTAGTCCAAATAAATATTAGTATATAACTCTACCTGTATATATATTAATAAAATTTTTAGGTGCTCCAGGTATTGAAATTTCACGTTTATCATCATTTAATAGATTGGAAATGCAGTATAATTCACTTTTAAATGGAATTATTCCGCTTGAAATCTCCCAAAGAAGGACTCCAATACTATATATATCGGGACTTTTGTTAAGTTTGTAAGTTTCAATATTTTGTAAATATTGAGGATCTGTGTACTGAATATATTTAAACACATTGGGAAATGTATTCTGATCCTGAAATATATAAAGCTTAATATCCCCTTTATTGACAAATATTTTTCTGGAATTCTAAATAATTAAAAAAAAAGTATTAATATTAAATTATAGTTGGTTAAAATTTTTTTAAAAAAAATCAAAGAATACCAAGTTCAAATGAATCAAATCGTTTTCATGTAAGCATTTTACGGCACTAATAATCTGTTTTGCAAGGCGTAACTTATCATTCCAATTAATTTTGTTAAAATTTTGTTTTACATATTGACAAAGTGTTCCATCAAATGCATATTCATGGACAAGTATAATTTCATTTATGCTTTGTTTAATAATCGCTATAAATTTTAAAATATTTTCATGTAAGTCTAACTTTTTGCATCGGTTTAGCTAAATAATAATCATATTAAACGTATGTTAATAAATAATAAGTTTTATAATAGTTGATATTTTCTTATTATCTCCTTACATCATTAATAAAATCTTCTAATGTATACTTTTGAAAAAAGACAAGCCTTCTTAAAATCATAGTTTTATTGTACTTTTTTGAAAAGACCTTGCAGGTATTACTAGATATTATCGTACCATCGGTCTCAAGTTCTTCAAAATGATAAGTAAGGAAATGTATTACTGTATTGCTCAAAATTATCTATCCAATTATCCATTTTAAAATGCTGTTTACTCTTAAATTGTTAACACAGTATTAACGTTAATGATGGGTAAAGGCCGAAAATTATAGTTGTACAGATTTTATTGTTGCAGCGTAATACGTATGGTAACTTGTGGTACATACTTTCATTAATTGAAAGTTCAGTTGCATTAAGTTACAGTATTCTGTTGTTTAAAGTATTAATATATAAGATATTATTTAAAGCTGTTACGACTTAAGACATGAAGTGGATTTTTGATTAAGAAATATTTAGCAGTGATTTATTAAACGTAAAAGAATTTCTTTCTTCACCAGAAATTAAAAAAGCTTTAGATATTTATTTGGAGTGAATTGGAGGACAATATATTTCGGTCTATTATAAGGTCTGCAATAAACTTAAATTACTCATAATTAATTTTAAAGCTTAATTTTAAGTTGATTCTAAAATTATTTTTATGCCCTACAATCATCTCATAATTTTATGCCCAAATCTACTCTCGAATTCTTTAAAGTACTAGTGGCGAAAGACGAAACCTGAACCGGAAATTTTGGTTTAGGCGGTGACACAAATGTCGCAAATAAATTTACCATATTATGTATGTACGTACCTGATTTTGCTAGAGATACTAGTAAATAAAGTTTCACCAGTTTCGGACGTTTCGGACATTTCGCTCAGTTTCGGACCTGGAGTCTTGGGCGAAACTAGATTCCAGAGGTTTCGGAAGCTTCGCCTGGCCAAAAATTCGGTTTAGCCGTAACACTATTTACCTCGAATTATAATATATGTGTCATGGCTAGGGATGGGTTCGGTCACGAACGGTCATAATCATTCATAGTCAATTTGCTAAATACTGTTATCTGGCTGAGTCACATGCCATGTGACACGGCTAACCAAATATGGGTGACCCGGCTAGAAAAGTCAGAATCGTCAGAAAGGACCGAAATGTAGGAAAAGTCCTTTCCGACGAAAAGGGCGAAGTAAGTAACGTAGTCGGTAATGGAGGGAACACTAATATAGTCGTAATCATTATAATCGTAGACAACGTTAGTATAGACCGCGAAAATGTATATAGTAAATGGTTCTTATAAATAAAGGCCAAAAAGGCCCTAAGGGAGGAGAGACACGTCCTTTGCTTTATAAAAATAATACCTGACCCTTACATAATAATAAATACTTAAACGCCTCCCTTGCTACATTAACTAATCGCTAAATCTCCAGACCATAAACCCGATTCTTGCAATTGTCTGTTCTATCCCGTAGTATTGTTAAACCTCCATCCGGCTGTTGTATCCTAAAGTACCAGGATCAGCCGTGGTAGTATCGTTTCACTATCCCGAAGGACTGAGGATAGTGTGGTTATACGTGTTGTCCAATTACCCGACGTAGTGAGGTAATTGAGGAATAGAGTTAGTAAGTTCAAGGGAAGGAAAACGCAAGACAAGTAAAGAAGAAACACTCACCTACGGACCCAAACCACCGACCAAATCTAAACGCCTCTTTTCGACTAGGTAACACGAAGTTTTGTATTGTGGAGTGACTGACTCGCCGTATCGCCCGATTTCAATACTGAGATGATTTTTTACTTTTGAGCTTTTAATTAAAGTTGTTCAGAATTAAATTCTGATCATCCCATATTATATGTGGAATACTTTACAGGGCAAAAATTTTCGATCAGTATTAGATCGATCAATTTTTGGAACTGGAACCTTGACATAATTGCCAACTTCAAAAGTGACTTTTCTTTTTTAAGTTCTTAGATTCCATAATTCCGTAAATTATTTCCTTGTTATGTTCTAGGTTTTTTCGTACTGTATTGCGAATCTTTTGAAAAGTAGGAATAGTTTCACTGTCCCTGCTGACAGCCGCTTACGAGGCTGATCAATATCAACCGTTGTCACTGTCTTGGATTAATCCACTAATTAACTAATTACACATGATAAAATATGTCATTAGCTCGAACTAATTAAAATTTACATAAAATGATATTAAATTAATAATTCAAATATCTTTTTCTCTTTTAATTGTACAGGTACTATTAAAAAAACGAAAAACATTCTTTTATAAAATCGCAAGTTTTTTATTCAACTTATAGAGATTCGTCCAAAATTCATAAAATTGAAAGAATAATAAACGATAACACGGAAATAACGAAATTGACAGTTAACATGACAATAAACATGACAACGAAATATTAATAAGAATAAAATGGAGACCAGGCCAGGCTAAATAATTTACCCGATCTCGATCTCGATCCCAGTTACTTTATCTATTTCGCAACAACTCAGCAAGAGGATAATATTCAAGGATTCACTATACTGGTTTTAAATTTAACTTTACTAATTGTAAAGTTAAAATTTTCTTAGATTTTAAACTAATTTTTTTAAATCGTAGAAATTTTATAATAACTACCCGGATTGTGGGTTGTTATTAAAGAATAATATCCAGGCTGTGTTTAGATACTTAATAATAATACTTTCCCGTTATGTTTGTGCACATAATAAAAAATAAGTATATTTTAAAATATAAAGTCTAATAAATAATGATACCATAACTTTGTATGATTTGTATTCTATAAACATAATTATTAAATCATATTATTGTGATCAAAGTTTATTCGACCATTCTTGAGCTTTTTCATTATCCAAAGAAATTCCTATACCATTTTGGTAACAAATAATAAGACATTCTTTTCCAAGACTTTCTCCTCCTTCCGCTGATTTCAAATACCATTCAAATGCCTTCTTTTCATTTATGGAAATTCCGATGCCATATTGGTAACATAAACCAAGTTCGTATTGTCCCAAACTATCCCCTTCCTCTGCTGATCTCAAATACCATTCAAAAGCTTTCTTATCATCTATAGATGTTCCGATGCCATTTTGGTAACAGCGAGCAAGACTGTTTTGTCCCCAAGTATCTCCTCCTTCTGCACATTTCAAATACCACTCAAAGGCTAACTTTTCATCTGCACAAGTACCTACTCCATTACTATAACAACGAGCAAGGTTATACTGCCCTATACAATTTCCTCCTTCTGCAGATTTTAAATAGTACTCAAAAGCTCCTACATAATCTCCTATGCCTTCATAATAACAACCAGCATTGCAATGTCCAAAATAATTTCCATTTTCAATTGATTTCATAAACCATTTCAAACCTTTTTCTTTATCAATATTGGTTCCGTCACCGTGCATTAAGCTATGTCCAGCTGCATTTTGTCCACTTGCATTTCCTTCCCCTGCAGATTTTAAATACCAATTAAATGAATGGGATAGACTTTTAATAACACCATAACCGTTATCATAACATTGTCCAATATAATATTTCCCAGAAATTGAACCTTTGGCAGTTGATTTTAAAAATGAATATAGCCCCTTTCGTTGATCTGCTATGACACCTTTTCCATAAATATAAAGTAAACCTAAAGATATCAATCCAATAATCTGATTTTCTTTAAGTAAATTGTCTACCTTGGTTGAAGTATTAAAATTTTCAGTTGCTTGTCTATACATATCAAATGCCTTGTGATAATCGACGATTGTTCCAATTCCATACTCATAAAAGAATCCAATAATGCTTGTAAAATAGTATTTAAACTTATAATTATTGTAATGTTCGAGAATATCTTCTGAATTTTTGTTATGTTCAACTATATGTTTTTTCAAGCAACAAATTACAGAACCGACTGAATTTTTTGTAGCACCTTGTATATTAAATTGTGTTATAAATAATTTATTTAAGTCATAAAGGAATTGAATGTCAATATGATTTTGATTACTCGCATTAACTAGAGATATTGGAATTGTTTCAACAATATTTAAGGTTGATAAGGAACTGGTTAAATTTAATAGATCATTCTGATCGTTAATCATACTATTTTCACTTAATATTTTTATAATTGAAGAAATTAACATTAATTCTTTTGTTGTCTTATTATGCAAATTAGTATAATAGTTTAACAATTCTGTTGAATTTGAAATTTCCATTTCTGACATTGGTAAATCGTTGTTCTCATTCTTATTACATTCTGTAAATGTTTTTTCGTTACTAATTATTAATATTTCATTATAGTTAATATTATTTAAATCATTAAAAATATGCTGAACAGTGGGTCGTTTATTTGAATTATGTTGCCAACATTCTAAAAAAAAGATAAATTTCTATATAAATAATAATATTATGTTATTAGTCACACAAAATCTTAGTATATGATTCTACCTGTATATATCTTAATATAATTTTGGGGTGTTCCAGGCATTGAAACTTCACGTTTACCATTAACAATTTCATTTAATAGATTGGAAATACAGTACAATTCAGTTTTAAATGGAATAATTCCGCTTGAAATTTCCCAAAGAAGGACTCCAATACTATATATATCGGAACTTTTGTTAAGTTTGTAAGTTTCCATATTTTGTAAATATTGAGGATCTATATACTGAATATATTTAAACGCATTCGGTAATGTATTCTGATCCTGAAATATATAAAGCTTAATATCCCCTTTATTGACAAATATTTTTCTGGAATTCTAAATAATTAAAAAAAAAGTATTAATATTAAATTATAGTTGGTTAAAATTTTTTTAAAAAAAATCAAAGAATACCAAGTTCAAATGAATCAAATCGTTTTCATGTAAGCATTTTACGGCACTAATAATCTGTTTTGCAAGGCGTAACTTATCATTCCAATTAATTTTGTTAAAATTTTGTTTTACATATTGACAAAGTGTTCCATCAAATGCATATTCATGGACAAGTATAATTTCATTTATGCTTTGTTTAATAATCGCTATAAATTTTAAAATATTTTCATGTAAGTCTAACTTTTTGCATCGTTTTAGCTAAATAATAATCATATTAATATGTATATTAATAAATGATAAGTTTTATAATAGTTGATATTTTCTTATTATATCCTTACATCATTAATAAAATCTTCTAATGTATACTTTTGAAAAAAAACTAGCCTTCTTAAAATCATAGTTTTATTGTACTTTTTTGAAAAGACCTTGCAGCTATTACTAGATATTATCGTACCATCGGTCTCAAGTTCTTCAAAATGATAAGTAGGAAATGTATTACTGTATTGCTCAAAATTATCTATCCAATTCTCCATTTTCAAATGCGTTTACCCTTAAATTGTTAACACAGTATTAACGTTAATGATGGGTAAAGGCCGAAAACTATAGTTGTACAGATTTCAGATTTTATTGTTGCAGTGTAATACGTATGGTAACTTGTGGTACATACTTTCATTAATCAAATTTTAATCGAAAGTTCCAGTTACATTAGGTTACAGAAAGATATTATTATTAGTTGTTTAACTGGATATTGCCAGCCATGGCAGGTAATGTAACTTAAACTAACCAAGATTACCTCCGAAAAATTCTGCGCAACGACTCAATTAGATTTTAAGATCAGGTATAGCAAGAAAATCAAAATTGCAATATCTCATTTCATAATTGGATTGATTGAATAAATATACCCTTCCATTATTACTTATCAGTTACCATAGAGTTATATATGGCAAATGTTGCACCTGAAGTTGATATCGTCTGAAGTTACTCTTGTCTAACTTCACCACAAGATCTAATTTCAGTGGATAATTCAGTAAATTCAGGCACCTGAAGTTACAATTTAAGGCATGATGTGAATTTTTGATTAAAAAAAGTTTAGCAATCAGTGATTTATTAAACGTAAAAGAATTTCATTAATTAAAAAAGTTTTAGATACTTATTAGGAGTGAATTGGAGGACAATCTATTTCGGTACATTCTAGGTCTGTTTTAAACTTAAATTTCTCATAATTAATTGTAAAGTTTCAGTTGATTCGAAACTTATTTTTATGTCCTACAATCATCTCATAATTTTATGCCCAAATCTACTCTCGACTTCTTTAAAGTACTAGTGGCGAAAGACGAAACCTAAACCGGGAAATTTTGGTTTAGGCGGTAACACTAATGTCAGCAAATAAATTTAAGCACCTTATTAGGCCTGTACTAATAAATAAAGTTTCACCAGTTTCATCAGTTTCATCAGTTTCGGACGTTTCAGACGTTTCAGACATTTCGCCCAGTTACGGATCTGGAGCCTTGGGCGAAACTAGGTTTCAGAGGTTTCGGAAGCTTCGCACGGCCAAAAGTATCGGTTTAGCCGTAACACTATTTACAACTGAAGCACCTCAAATTATAATGTGTGTTATGGGCCAAATTGGCTTTTAGGTCAAATTAAACTTGACCTGAGTCAAAATAAGCAATTAAAAAACCCTACATAATTCTGACCCGCACTACCCTAAAAATTTGCTAGGGGTATTTTTGAATCAGGTCAAGTTTAACTTGACCTAAAAACCAATTTGGCATGTACTCAAATAACAGGTTGATGGTGATGTGCATCATCTGAAAATAAGTGCCAAGATGTGTTGGATTATATCTTAACGTAAGAATGCAATAATATATGGGAGCTTGTCAATAGAAAAGGCCTAAATCTGTTTTAGTAAATTTTTTTTTATTTTTAAATTAAAATATCTCAATAATAATCTTATCAAATTTAATAAAAATTTTTTTATTTAAATCTATAACTTATTAAAATTAAAATAAAAAAAATTTTTATAAGATTTGCTTTAATAATTATTAAAATATTTTATTCTAAACTTGAGAAAATATTTACTTAGAAAATTTTTGGGTCTTTTCTATTGACAGGCTCCCATATGTATATGTCGCATCTGGCTAAAATTAAGCCCCTGAAATTATTTTTTTTTAATTTTATCCAGGGTGCTACTTTAGATATATTGTCAGAGGTAAAACCGACACCTGCGAAATGGACATCATTGTGGCATACTTACCTAATTAGAGGTGCCCATGACGATCCATCTGAAACATGTGCGCCCGGCCCCAAAGAAGC